GGGGGGGAAGACAAGGGTTTGCGTGAAAGGGGCGGCAGGAATTACCTAGGATACTTCAGTCGCCACCTTGGCAGTCGTCGTATTCTTAACGAGGCGAAGTTACACGAGCACCGTGGGGCCATTTGACACCGCAATGTAGCACCCAGAGTGGTGATTATAAAAGCGGAAGAGGTATAGGGGAAACAAGATATTTGGTTGGTAATTATCAGTAAAATGTCGGATAAGAGTCTTGGAAATTTCTGAGAAGCACATTTCCACTAACATTTCAAGGAATTTTGACACTGAGAATTCATAATTTCATGGAAAAATCCGTGGAAAGTGTAACTTTTAGTTTAATTATATTGGGAAAATGAATGAAAAAAGAGGAAAAATCCCCTGAAATTCCGTGAAAATTCAAGGGAATTTGGTAATGAATATTCATTTCCACTTGAACATTGATTTAAATTGGGAAATTTCCGTCTTCCTGCCGCTAAAAAATAGGAACTACTTGAATTTGTAGAGACTTGAAATTTCAATGACTTTTTGCCCTTAAATCGAATTCAGATTATTTCCCCGGAAAATTCAGAATTTTTTTAACAAGCGTACTCACTGTTAAAAATTGTTTACTGAAATTTCCGTCAAAAGTGTTGGAGATTTCTAAAAAGTAACATTTCCACTGAAATTTTGAGGGATGTTGTCACTATTTGGATGAAGGTGGAAGTTAAGGAATGAACATTGTAGAAACGTAATATTCATGTTATTTTCAATGCTATCTTATGTTATTTTCGAAATATTCAATTTCGGATAGTCAACAGACTAAACATCTCGAATAGCAATTTTCTGAATTAAGAAAAACCGGAGATAATTAATGGAGAAAGTTCCTCTCAGAATATTAAACAATAATCACGTAACTATAGAGTTATGAATCGTTAATTATTACTACAATTTATGTAGATAATTTAGGTGAAATAAAAAGTGCAGTTGATTATTGAAAGATAATTGACAGTTCATTGCACATCAAATTAAATTGTTTCTGGTTATTCATTTTTATGAACCTTTTATTAATATTGCGTTGATTCACATCACGAAAATTTTGTACAAACCTGAGATTTATTCGTACAGTCGGAGATAGCAAGTAGCCATGGATATTTAAATCAGCAATGTGAAGAGAATATAACCCGCCTCTGCTTTAAAAAAAATTACAATTTAAAAAAAACTACAGTAATTTTTTTTTTCATAAAAAAATTGCAATCAAGTGGTTTTCATTTTCGTAAAATGTGGTATTAATTCAAGTGGTCCGTCAAATTTATTTATACATCCCTTTTCTCTTCAGAGGATAAAATATGAGCTAGACGCAATTAATCAGCAGGAAGTTGAGGGATACGGCATTCATAATAAATTTGATGCGCGGTTCAAATATTTTTCATTAATCGAGCAAAATTATTGGGATTCCTCTCATGAGAAAAACAAAGCCTCGGACTATCACTGATATCAGCCACCTCCGCAACGAAAGCAGCTGACAGTTATGGGTTGGAAAACGATATGAGCTTGGTATAATTGAACGTCGGTTAAACCGCGGCAGTTAATTGGCAGAAGTGTAATTAGCTGGGTTTGAAATGGTACTGCGGAGTAGTGGGTGGTATGTGCGAGAGATTAATACCCAAATTGGGAAATGAGAAAATTATTTCGGGTTGAGCCGATACCGGATGAAATAACGTATGAATTTGATATGCGATTAGGAGGTATGGGATCATTGAATCCAATTGAATTTGACATTGAGGGAGATAAGATAGCGAAATGAGACACACGGCGAAATAATTCACCATTTCAATTAAATAAATAGGTTGGCTTAATTTTCCGGTACACTTTTTGGAAATTTTATTAGATTTTGCTTCCACAACTTTAAGGAATTTTGTCACTGAAAATTCAGAATTTCATGGAACATTTCATCAGTAACATTCCGGTAAATATATTCTTCAATTTCAATTTTAAGATATCCTCCGCAAAAGGTATTTTTTATTGATCTCCAATTACGCTCCACGATTACCTTTCGTATAGTTAGATGCAATTGCGTTCGAATGGGGATCGAATTGGGTTCGATAATCCATTCATTAATTTATCTGTTTAATTTATCGAATTAGAGAATTGTACGGATGAAAAAAAAATGAATGAAATTAAAAAAAATTATAACAAAATAAATACATAAAAATAAAAATTGTCAATTGAATTAACACTCGGGTGTTTTAGAAATGAAATTGGTAAACTATAATATAACGTAAACTGTTAGTCAGCGAAGTACTTTACGATATCATTTCTAGGACATGAATATGAAATGCTTCAATCTTTTTATCTATAGTGAAATTTTCCACAATTTTCTAGTATTTTTTATTCAACTTTTCTCTCCGTGTACTGCCCACAGAATATCAATATTTTTTATAATAGTGCATAGACTTTCGTTTCATTCAAATGCATCATTTCTCTTCATGAAATTACACTGAAATTTTTGTAACAGCATAAAATCAACAAAGATCGAATCTCACAAAGTCACTCACTCTTTCCAACACCATTACGACTTCCCACCCCCACAATGACCCAAATGATGAAAAAAAAACCCTTAACTGCATTAACTCATGTACCCCTCACCCCGTCCACCCAAAACTACCTAATTAAAGTAACTGAGCTTGTCAGATCGTGTCCCACCCACTGCTGAAATCGAAGAAAACCACTCGAGAATGAAAATACGAGGGCGAGAAACCCGAGAGATAAAAGCGACTGAAGTAAGTGGGATAGAAGACGGCGAGGGGGAGAGTAACACAGTTGGCTTCACTGATTGCTAATATGGCGTCGTTGTGGGGTACTCACCGGCACGCCGCATCCTACACGCTTTCCTGGGCAACAATGCCTGCGGGCGTTAATTTTCCCGCGAAACGTATTGCACTATTGCCAGTGGTCCTATCATCTCTCTCTTCTTTATCCTCTTCTCTCCACCATTCAATTGTTCCATACTTCCACATATACATCCTTTCTCACTCCCTTCAACAAACTCGTAGTCGCATAGAAATGTGTGCACGTAATAATACCATTGCTAAACCTCCGTTGAAAATACCATATCACCTGAAGTCTGCGAGTACAAACGCGCATTATACGCCCAACACTGCACTCATTCCCGGAATAAACCACTGTATATTGAAAATGCCCTTTTGTCATTGAATAAACTCAAGTCATTATAAATTGCGTAGTATCCATCTATTTATAATTTGGTTTCTCGGTTCATAGAGTTTATAAATGAATATAGTTCCCATGTTATCAGTGCAATTTACGAAAACTCTGTGCATATTTCATCACATCTCTAACGAAGTGAAACGACCGAGGTGCACTACCTTTCGTGTTTACAAATTGATACTGCTAGACCAGTCTTTCATCTGGCACTAACAAGACAGTAAAAGAACATCGCGTGATGCATCAAACGCTATTTGATGTACAAAACCCCAAACCTCAGATACAGAAAGCTGCCATTGATCATTCCACTGAACTGTGAATAAGTCAAACATTTGCCGTCGGCCCACGAGACCTGTTTTTCACTAGACAAAAATGGTTGAGTTGAGTTTGCAATTCAATCATGTTTGGGAAATAGTGTTAAGAAGAATGACTTTGACTGTTGCTCGAAAACAAGGAGTAAACTTCATAAATTATGAAGGGATTCCTCGTTAGTTGCAGTATTTCATCGTCTTATCGTTAGTTTGAACTCGTTATTGAATGTATTTCACTGCCAAAACAATTCAAGATGTGCTTATTCATGCTTGGGAACTGTTTACACTGTTACAGTTAACATTTTGCAACTACATAGCAGTTGACGAGACACTGAAGTATGTTCCACATCCCGAAGACAAAACAAAGACCCTTCTCAAGCAGGAAGCAATAGTAACGGTTCAAGGGGTTCCCCTGACATCGTACATGGAGGAATTATTAACAAAAAGAATCTCCTTCAACGCTGGAATGGTGAGTGAAAGTAATTTTCCAACAGGATTTCATTATCTTTTGATCGTTCTCTTAAATTCCTGGTTTATATCTCGCTTTACCAGGGACGACAAGCTGTGGAGTGGGTGATAAAGCTGGATACTGAAGTGAAAGGTTTGGCAAATAGTGCTGTAAAGTCAACTGATGAGCTCTTAACCCAAACCCGACGTCAGTTTGATGATATATCAACAAAAACGAGGAAGAGCATGGATGATCTTCAGCAAGCAGCTAAAATATCTCTGGATGAGATACAAACATTCACAGCTCCCTCATCACCTCAATCAATGCCTAAATTATAGCTAAGGTTTCGGACTAGCTTTAATCTTTTCAATTAACGAATGTCGTTTGGACTTCATTGGTAATTGTTGGAAAATTTTGCCAGTGAGAGCTAATGCGATATTAAAAATTCATTGCAATTCGGTTACAAACTAGATGAAAGATAAATTGGGGTTTCGAGAGGATTGAGGCTTTTTCGGAGTAATTTATTTTAAAGTAATGGCTAATTGATACTGCTTCGTATGCCATCGTTCGAAGTAAAGAGATTTTCGTTGTACATTTGATCTGAAAATGTTGAATTTGAAGGGGGATTTTTTAGTTGGACGATTTACTGTGTTTGTGAAAGACACTTTGATGAGAGAGGTAATAGTTGTCTTATTGGTACAAGCGGGAGTGAGAATAACGTCTGAGGTAAGTTACTTTCGAATAATTTTGTACAAAGCCATAAAATCGAACGGTTGAGTTTTGCCGATGTGAAGATTCCCTTCGCTTACTGATGAAAAATTGGTAGGAAATGGTTTATAGAGTAGATTTTCCTCACTGTATGAATGATGGAGGATATTCCTCTTAGAGTATTGAACAACAAGAGAATATAGTGATATGCATCGTTGATTATTATTATAATTTATGTAGGTAACTCAATTGAAATAAACAGTACAGTTGATTATTGAAAGGTAATTGACATTTCATCGCACATAAGATTGAATTGTTTCTGATTATTCATTTCAAAAGAACCTTCTATCAAGAATCTTGCACTGACATCTGATCAGGGGAGTTTTGTGCAAACTTGGGATAAAATCTTGATCCTCGACATGAGAGATGATTGATGAGTGTTAAGTGGGAGTCGAGAAATGTTTGAAGTGATTCGATTCGAAGTAATGCATAATTACTTCCGCATGTCCTCGTTCGAAGTACAGAAATTTTAATTATACATTGGGTGTGAGAATGTTAAACCCAGAAACATGAAATATAGAATATTTTAATATTTGATTACACCTGAAGCAGAATATTCTTTATTCAGACGATTTACTGTTTTTTAAGAATACTTCAAGAAAAGCGGCAGTGGCTCTCCGATCATTACACTCGGGAGTGAGAATAACCCCTGAGATAAGTTACTTTCGAATGATTTTCTACAAAGCCATAAACTTAAACGATGGAGTTTCGCCGATCTAAAGACCCTCTTCGCTCACTGATGGGAAAATAATACGAAATTATCAGTAGAGTACGTTTTTATCATCGTCTGAAAGTTGGAGGATATTCATCTCAGAATATTGGATTACAATCACGATAGATTTATGCAGGCAATGCCTTCAGTAAGAAGTGCAATTGATTATTAAAATATAATTGACCCTTTATTTCACGTCAAACTGAATTGTCTCTGATTATTCATGTCAAACAAACCTCTCGTCATCAACGATGCTCTAATTTCCGAACATTTACACGAGAGTTTTGTGCAAACTCTGGATCAAATCTTGTCCCTCAATATCAGAGATAATTGATGAGTACCAAGAGCACTGAACCAACTGGCTGTAGCTTGTAATCGAAGCAGAACAAATATTGATCAACTACTCTCCACTGTTCAGCATACTCTTTGTTCACTATTGTCACCATCTAAACATCACATGCATACAATATTCTGTTCGTCGGGATTTCACCGCAAGTTAATACAGCTAACCAATCTGCCATTTGCTCACCCAAGCTGGCACGAATATTCCATTCGTTTTTTAACACTCCTTAGCGATTTGCTATTCGCTGTAGACACTCTAGTACCTACTTCCCTCTAACTTCCCTTCTATTTCGTTCACCCCTCCCCCCCCCCTCTTCGAGCATTTCCAATTGCTCAGATGTTCAGAATTCACCGTGTGACGCGGATCAAAGGGAATTCTATCTCTGTGGAGAGTTCGTCAATAACAAGTTTTCGAGTAAATCGAATTAACCCAGCAGTAGACGTGGCACCATATCCCCCGTACCTTCGGCCCTCTTTCTCTTTTAACTTTCCAACGACAAATCCATCAGCTCAAAAAGACTCAATTCCCATCGGGCTTATCTTTATTTCATCACAAGTGCGTCAATCACTGCCCGGTGAAAAGTAGGGCCTTGAAGACGCCTCAATTTAAGACATTTGACGCTAACGTGGGTCTTATCGGCTGACTTCGCGATGACGGACATTTCAAATATTTTCACGGAGAGAAATATTCAGCTGTAATACCCCAAGACCTTCAAAATTATCGGATATTTCCCGAATGTTTTGTTGCATAGCAACGAGAGGGATCAGTTGTACAGATTAAAATGGATTTTAATGGAAAGATTTTACTGCAAAGCTGATCCCGATCGTTGATATGCAGGAAAACTTGAGGGAAATATCCGATGAATTTTGAAGGTCGAGGGGTATTCGGAGGACAATTTCTTCAATTCTGATTTTGGCCGATCAGGGTGCAGTGTTCGGGGTTACGGGACACATCTCACCAAAATGTAAGGAATATCTGTCAAATTCGTAGAAAACAATTGACAGGCTACAGGGAAATTATCACTCTGATAATTTCCCTGTAGTCGGGGAAATTATCAGTGCGAAACGCGTCACGTGACTCCGAATACTGCACTCTGATTGGTCAAAATCAGAATTGAGGAAATTGTCAGTAGTAATACCCCAAGAGCTTCAAAATTATCGGGTATTCCCCAATAGCTTCGTTGCAAACAAATGAAGGTGTCAAGTTTTGCAGGCTAAAAAAACCTGAGCGCTTGCGCGAGGGTTTTTCTGCTAAACTTGGCACGATGGTTTGTTTGCAGGGGAGCTTGAGGGAAATAGCCGATTGATTTTGAATCTCGAGGGGTATTTGTCAGATTATTTTTCCCAATCGGATTTTGGCCAAGCAGAGTGCAGTGGACAGCATCAGGATGTGAATTGAGGAAGATTTGAAGAAATTATGTTAATAGAATAACCCGATCTTCATAGACTGTCAAATATAAGATTCTATCTGAAATGAGCGGAAAAAATGAAGAACTACTGCGAAATATTCAAAAGCTAGGAGGAAATATCCGAAATAAAACAGTCGGGTAGCCTCAAATACTGCGCTCTGATTGGTCGAAATCCGATTGGGAAAAATAATCAATACAAATTACGTATCTTTTCCGTAATTTCTCTTCGTGCATGTATAATCGATCTTCAATGTATGAGAAAACTCATTCCAATAGTCTGCGACTTTTAAAACTCATTGTAGTCTCCCTTAAATTGAGAGACAAACTTCTTAAAAACGGAGACAAAAGTGTCTTAACTTCAGACACTAGTTTTTCCACACTGGTCATTCCGAACGCATTGATTTTCATATGAAATTTCGGGTTCCGGGTAAGAAAGGGGTTCTGTAGCATGTGGAATATTGATGTGATTCGGTGGAACGTGCTTTGACCCCGTGAAAACTAAAGTGAGGGTAACTTTGAAATTCCACGGGATCGAAGGCCAAACGATGAGTCGCCTTTGGACGTTTGCCATCGTAAAATAAAGAGGATTCCACGGGTTTTTTTGTGCTGGAGGGGGTTAAAAAACCAACGGACCTCACTTCCCTTCACTTTCTTGTCTGTCGAGCATTCCAAAGGCAACGAATCACGTTCGATTTGAAACCCTTGTCAAGGATCGGCTCATGGTTAACACATGGGGATGTGCTATAAAACCAGTCGCTTATACGAGCCCCCGAGGGACTTTTTTGTAGTCAAGGAATTGTCTCATGGAGATGAATTTCGATTGAAAATTACTCCGGTTGGAAGTGTAATAATTAGTAACAATTATTCACAATTGCCACTGAGTTTTACATGAAATTTTGAATTGTGAATTATGAAAATTTCAACCAATAATTTTCAATTGTTCACACATGAATAAATTTTTGAGGATTTGTCGTTGTCTAGTAACAAAATAAAATGAATAAAATGTTTGATCCCTCAAATTTAAGTGAAAACGTAACTCAGTACAAGTTAAAATAAATTCTCGCAGAAATTTCTCTCCCTGTTTTGCTGAACATTTTCTTTCATTCCACTATCATATCTCGCCTTAAGAGTTATGAAATTAAATTCTATAAAATTAAATATGGCCATGGAGAAGACAGGAAATTACTTCTTTTTCCCAGCAGTATTAAATTCCAAATGAAATGACACTCATAAAAATATAGACGAAACCATAGTGGAAGTACGTGGGTCAGGAATCGCATGGTCTTTACCCACAGGCCATCCACCAACTGTAATTCAGCATTGAGACTCGTGTGTTAGTGTCATTTGGTGGTTTTACGATCACCTATTACCTGGAGCCAAGGGTTGCATACCCTTTCCACCTGCGCTGCTATTTTTAACACCTCAAGACATTTAATCTTCTCGGTTTACGGCTTTTCAACGTAAATTTTCGAAGTATATAAAATGCATGAATATTTAAACGAAGGGATTTTACGGGGAAAACTGAAAGGCTTGACACAAAGTAATATTCCTCCTTGATGAATCCAATTCCAGGGAGTCGAATGATGGCAAGGCAGTGTCATAACATGCGACTTTCAGGTCCATTTCCATAAAACTGAATTTATAGCTTGAGAAGATGTACATCCCATTGCATACAGTTATTTTAGTCACCTATTTAATGGATCTGAGTTACAATAGTACATCGGATACTGTAAGGAATGGTTTTGAGAGGAAGTGTGAGGGAATGACATTGTTTCAAGGAATAAGACAGTTTAATGTGAAGTATTGTAGCAGGATGGTGCATTCAATAAACCTGTTAAGCACGTGTCAGGTTATTTAATATCAAATTCTATATATGAACAAATTCTACACCCTTGATGAATCCAATTCCAGAGAGTCGAATGATGGCAAGGCAGTGTCATAACATGCGACTTCAAGTCCATTTCCATAAAACTGAATTTATAGCTTGAGCAGATGTACATCCCATCGCATGGAGTTATTTTTGTCACCTATTTAATGGATCTGAGTTACAATAGTACATCGGATACTGTAAGGAATGGTTTTGAGAGGAAGTGCGAGGGAATGACATTGTTTCAAGGAATAATGGAATAAAGAATAAAGGAATAAAGAAACCCGTTAAGCAGGTGTCAGGTTATTTAATTTCAAATTCTACATATGAGTAAATGGTCTATTGGATTAGTGGGTCAGCAGAGGAAAGAATTTGCTATTCAGTAGAATTAAGACTATTGTCTTCAAGACTCCCTGTCATTCATGTCACTCCCTGCCGTTCATGTAGAATGTATGAATATTTAAAGGAAGGGATTTCACGGAAAATCCTAAAAGTCTTGACACAAAGTAATATTCACCCTTGATCAATCTAATATCATAGAGTCGAATGATGGCAACGCGGTGTCATAACATGCGACTTTCAGGTCCATTTCCATAAAACAGAATTTACAGCTTGAGCAGATGTACACCCCATTGCATGCAGTTATTTTAGTCACCTATTTAATGGATCTGAGTTACAATAGTACCTCGGATGCTGTAAGGAATGGTTTTGAGAGGAAGTGCAAGGGAATGAGATTGTTCATGGAATAAGACAGTTTAATGTGGAGTTTGCAGCAGAATGGTGCATTCAATAAACCTGTTAAGCACCTGTCGGGTTATTTAATGTCAAATTCTACATATGAGCAAATGGTCTATTGGATTAGTGGGTCAGCAGAGGAAAGAAGTTGCTATTCAGTAGAATTAAGACTATTGTCTTC